GATTGGAACACCTTTGGTCCCTAGGAAAAAAAAATCCAGCGTACAAAGAAGCGATGCTCCGCGAGCAAGAGACTCGGAATGCTTACCCTGAAGAAGAAAAAAAAAGGAGGATTAACCCTTAAGGTGACACGAAAGTGGCGTAGCGTTCATGAATCTTCTCTCCGAACTGAACGCCGCCCATAAAATGCCCTTTTTATAAAAATTTGTTTACATTTTTAATACTTTGTAGGGAAAAAAAGAGATGAAATTTCACGAGGGTCGAGACCTTTTTTATAGCCTCCGTATTCACGTTGTAAAATCTGAAACGATTCGGTACACCCAGCTCGGAGAAAAGCTTCACGAACGATTGACCACTCAGATGCCACTTTCGCATTCCCTTACACATGAAATATAATCCTTATGGCTCGCAATTCCAAGACGTTAGTTGAGTGTTACCCACTGCCACATGGTAAAAGATTCCCACTTATAAAGTTTCTTGCCGCAGTTTTTCTTTTTCTTTTTTTTTTTTTTTTTCGGAGTAATTTGCACAGATCTATCGTTAGACCTTGCTCCTTGCTAGCCACCTTGATCGATCCAGATCGCCACGACAATTCTTCGACATCGCGTCAACCTTGAAGATCTAGGAAGGATCTAGTCTCGCAATCAACCTGCCTATACGTGATCCGAGGATCTCTCCACGTGTCGCCGCGTGCAAAACGCACCGCGGACGAATTAAGCGCATCCAGTCATTCTCCTCCGCGTTGAACACGTCGATCGACACTTAAGACCCGTACACGGCATTGCGCCCGACCGCTTCGGATGTACCATCTGACGCTTAATGCCTGTAATTCGAATTCATCAGCATCCTGACTGCGCTCCTCGTCCTTGCTCCTCGCATGCGGCGCCGGACTGCGATACCACGGCATTCCGCACCGCAACCGAGCACCGCCGTGCCAACTCTGCCAAGAGTGCCTCGCACAAATTAAGCGTGTCCAGCGATTCGTGGCGAATGTCAATCGACTCTCTTACAATTAAAGGAGCGTCTCCTCGAGGCACCCGGACACCCTTCAACGGCGTCTATGACTCGAGATCATCGATTTCCTCGTGGCCGCGTCTTCACCATTGCGAAAAAAAAAAAAAAGAAAATTCATTGAACCGAACTAGTACCAAAGAAATATTTTCATAATTCGAAGAATAATTATTTGCCACCAATAAACTCGGAGAGGAAGAGTTACTTAGGTAGAATGGGGGACACGAATGCCTCCCCTGTAGATACGACATCGCCTGTGCAGGACGGGAAGGCATTGATGTCTCCCAGTGCACTATTCAAAGGAATATTTCTTCGGTTCGATGAAATTGTCCCTTTCAGGGTAGATTACAGGTTTCGAGGATGCGACACCGACTACTCCCGATATAATAGAGTAAAAATGTATTAACACGTTGACCACCAGGTGATCCCTAGGGAACGACAACCGCTAATAGGTCAGGTGAGGTGTCAAGAGTGGTAGGTCGCACCAAAAACGGAAGTTCGTAAAAGTCCAAACTCTATTCGGGATTTTCGAATTCGTTTAACTGGAGTTCGCCAAGACACCCGACTGGTCGCGTCGCCGACCTCGTCGACGGGCTCGAGAGATGCGACACCCGGGTAAACGACGATCATTTAAGCGGTCATGCAACGCGGGATGTAAGTGTCAGGTCGACCCGCACTCGGAGTTACCGTAGGGAGGCTCGAGTGTCGACGGCCGGCACACCGAGGAAGAAAGTGTCCCGCATAATTGCTGAAGAGCAAAACCGCAGATACCCATCGACCCCGTCCGAAGGCGTAATGGAAGCGGGGACCGACGTCGTTCCCCGAAAACCGCAGACGCGATGTCGCCACGGGTGCGTGCATAAATCCCGGGACCTTTACGATTCCAATGACCGTCGCAGCCGGATTCCCCGTCGTAATGGCGGCCCCAACAGCGCAAGGCTGCACCTTCCGCGGCCTGACCTTGGCTACGGACACCTTCCCCGACCTCGGAGGCCGCGCAATCGCAGGAATGCCACGGACGGTCCAGTTGAAAGGACTAAAAGAAATTAAGGAAACCGAAGGAGCCGCGCCGACTCCTCTCCCTGGAATTCTGCGAGGACGAAGGGAGGAAGGCATTCCCAAAAGATTCGGAGCTAAACGAGAGATCCGATCGGAGGCGCCCTCGAAGAGTTTGGGACCTTCCAGGGGGCCGGTACACCCGGGAAAATTCCGACTCCCTTGGAGGGAATAATTGGGGTAACGAGGGCCAATTAGCGGGCCGCGACGCGGACGAACGGCGGAAGGCTCTCCGAGAGGTCGATGGGCGACGCCTCGATTGCCGGATGTGATAATCGGAGGCGAAAAATCCCATGGAAACGTCCGGGGCAACAGTAATGTCCGCCGATGCACGGACCGGTTCGTTAGTGAGAGTGGGAGAGGAGCCTGATCCTGGTGATCAGGGTACCAAGGTACTCGCGGCCCACGTGGCGTGTCGTGCGCAAACGGTGGCTAAACTCCCCATTACTTTATCCCGAGGAGCAGCCGATGCCATTTCGGAGCGACAAAAGGAAGAGATATCGCCAAGAAGGATCGAAAAGTACCCGTCGCCGATGCGTGATAACGATTAAATCCACGATATCAGGACCGACCCTCTTCGACTCTGCTCCTCCGTTTCAAGGAAGACTCGAATGAACGATTAAATGATTTCCACCAAAGCTGGTCTCACCGAAATCGGGATTAATTAGGGAAGTAACGGCCAATATTGATTAGGCCATTTCGAGGGAAGTCGGGAACACCGACCCTGACCTACCCTCGGCCTTGATCGGCTCTCTTCAAGGCCGAGGCGAGGAGCTGCAAGGTGCGCCATGAAGAGCGGGAGCAGCTGCACCTGCTCAAGGTCCACCTCGTGGCTCTTCCAGGTTCAAGGTCGTCCCTTCTCGGCCTCCTCTTGGAGGCGGCCTACCCCGAAGAGGCGTGACGGCCACGAGGAACGGGGAGCACGGCCCGAGTCAAGGATCCCGCACGAGAAACGGCTCCGTTTCTATCGACCGCATCATTTCCCGCTATACCGTTTCCCGTTGCCGGGCAATTTTGCAATCCGCATTATTATGGTAAACGCGTCGATATTTTTCCCCAGGAATGCCGTGCCTCGTGCACGGGTGTATATCCAGCCGCAAGGATTTCACCGCAAGGAGCGTGATTAAAAGTGACCTCGGCCGAATCCTGATCACCTGGTCCTTGCGTCGGACATTTTTCAGATATTATTTTTATAACCGCGAGCCTGCATTTTCTAATCTCAAATGTGTATTTCAATACGCGGCAAATTGAAAAATCGCGATTGAAAAATATCGATATATAGGTGCGAGTGGCAAGAAAAATCGTTCGAATAATTCCGGCCGCCACCATTTCGCGACTCCTCCCTCGGGACCCCGGCTTGGCTTAGGTCCCGGGATTTGCGCTTCGGCGAATCGCCTCGTAAAGGCAAACATCGTCTCGAAATTTACGGGCGGCGCGTTTTCGACGTTCGCGAGAAAAGGGCCCCTTAAGGACACGCCGACGCCGCCTACGGGACCTCGAGGATGTCCCTTGCCAAAGGCGAGGAACGCTTCGAAGCCTTCGAAGAAAACCGACTCCCTGCCCCGAGCCGACTGAGCTTAAAAAAAAAAAATTCAAAATCCGTTTCTTAAGCCTCGAGTGGCACTTTTACCTCGCAAAAAAGAAAGATGTAGGAAGCGAGGATAATTTTCGGATGGATCGAGGAATCGATCGGCTCTAGCCAAAGATTTCCAAGCAGAGCTCATCGAGCACCGAGCCGATCGAACTCTGAAGAGCTTCAAAAAATTCCGAATTAATCTCTCACGTCTTGGGTTACACTTCTCCCCTGTGAAAAAAATATAAAAAAAATTCCAGAATCGTCCTCGTCGCGATCGGGAAATCCTGGCTTCGACTCCGGCCAATAGTTTCGAAGCAGAGCCCATCTCGGTGGAAGCCAATAGCTTCGGCGCGTTCCCCGTGAACGCTATCCGGGACGAGATCCTGCATTCAATTCCAAGGCCTTTTGGCAGCACCCTCCGGTCGTTACGATGATTTACGAGCGCCGTAAACTCGACAGGGATTCGAGCATCGAGGTAAAACAATGAAGCGAAACCTTCCGCAGGTAAAACATGACTCTTCTCGGCTGAGCACCTCGCATTGTCTTAAGCCAATTGTAAATAATCCCCACTTCTGCAGAAATTAAGGTGAACTTGGGTGCCGAGACAGGTGCACCTCGATTCTCGCCCAGAACCCGCGACCACCTATGAAACCGATTTCAAGCTCGCCCTGCACCATCGCCTTCGAAAGACGCGGTTCCCGGGTGAAACGAGGGTAAAAAAAGGAAATCGCATGATTTAATTCGCGTTTAAATCGATGATATAATAGTTTGGCTCCTGTCCCGAGGCCAGGGAAGATTAAGATCCGAGCTCGGGAGGCCGAAGAGGACCCTGAAGAGGGCCCTTAAAAGCTCTCGGGGGACCCGTCAGCCTCGTGCTCCGTTTTGCACGCTAACCGCGGGATAATACCACGGGATAAGACTCTGTATTCAATTCCAAGGCCTTTTTCGGCAGCGGCCCCAGAGTCGTTACGTTGATTTACGGGCGCCGTTAGGTCGGCAGAACGTAAAACAATATAAAGCCGAGCAAGAGCCCCAGGTCCTCGAGGGGGCCCGCAATAATAACGTTGAATAACGAGGCGAGCCGAGGCAGGATCTCCGATCTAAACTGCCGGTTGCGATGCCGAGGTAACAACTTCCTTCGGCACCTACTTTATCGGCAGCTCGCCGATCGATCCTCGGGAGATCGATCCGTCGATCTACCGCGATAGATGGAAAACCTGGACCCGATCGATCGGACCAGGTGGGACCGCCTCGATTTGGGACCAAATGAATTTTTTTCGGGTAGACCAGTCCTGGTACCGGCGACGATCACGGTTCCATCGATCGAATGGATCGATAATACGATATTCATGGACTCACCCTTCAGCTGGGTCGACTCGATCGCGAACATGTTCAGCGCGAGGAGCTGAAGAAGTCGCATGCCAGGAAGAGGAAGCGGAGAGTGCTGCAACAATGCCCGGAACTCCCTCAACATCTGAATGCTCGCCTCCTGGAACGTCTCCATCCTGAAATACGGAAAAGAATCGCAACTGAGTTCGTATTCTTAGATGAATTATTATCGCGACCTTTCGCCAACTTTATCACTGTGAACGTCGAAAAAAGAATTACACACTTGACAATTTTTTTTCTGAAAAACTACTGCATATAATGGCGCAAACATTTTTTTCCTGGTAAGATCTAACGTAGGAGAACATAGGAAAATTTTTCGCCTTAGTAAAAAATACATATTTATTTATTTATTTATTATTGCAATCGTAGAGTCATGCCCGAGACTTATCAGTGGTCGTCGCGAGAATTTAAACGTTTGGTCTATTTTCAGGAAATTTTTGGATCGAGTTGGAAAAGGGTGAGAGCTTAATATGATAAGGCAGTGAATGGTATGTCAGTGTTGAATGTAGACACGGATGAACGTCCGTCTCATCGATCGCCCGAGACTTATCACCGGTGGTCGCAAGAATTCACGATCCCCGGAGGATGGGCCTCCTTCGATCCGAATAAATCAGGGAATATCGGGCGCCCAGACGACGGGATCCAGCGGAGACGGACTAAATAAGTCAGCCCCCGAGCTGTCTGTACCATTATATACCGACAGGAGTTGAATTATTCAACCCGATCCCGCGCAAGGACGTCGCGTGCAAACTGGAGCCATTCCGGATTGGCAGGATCGAATTTCGAGCGAGCCTCGAAACGGACGTTTCTTCCGAAGCTCGATTGATACCGCCGAATTAATTCAGTCCTACTGATTGATCGACGCGAGAAACCTACCCACTAAGCCACGTGTACCGTCCCCACATATATCGCAGGGCAGCCCAAGGTACGCTATTCACTTTGGCAATTCCAGAGGGATAAGAACAAGTGATAAGACCGTCCCACCAACTTTATTTGATTTATCGATTAATCCTAAATTCCTGGTGGAGGTAGATTAGCCTGGTCTATTACCTTGTACGACGATTAAAGAGACACGGGACGACGACCTGTCAAGTGATCGCCGAGAAAATCCCAATTTAATTGACAGGTCATGTGAAGGAGTCCGTGATTCGGGATTCCGTGACGGAACACCAGGACCTACCCTCCACACAATCGATAAAGACCCGGCAAGTGGGACTTCAAATCGACAAGTCGATACGAAACAGTACCGTCGTGTCAGAAATACACAATTGGGTGGTCGGAAAAGTAATGACGCATTTTCCTATGTCATCCGTTAGGAAGATGCGTCAGGACTTTTCCGACCAGCCAGTAGAGTAGAGAATTCGGATGCAGAAATCCCAAGTCCACCGTATACCTCATAAAGTAACTTTAATGTATGGATATTATTAATTATGTATGAAGTAATTTTAAGCAGAGTGAGCGATCACCTCCGTCTACGCGGATGATTAGCCGATTACTGTCAATTTCCCGGGGAATTTCTCAGCCAATTTCTGGGCCCGTTCCCGGGGCCAGAGTCTTATGACATCGGCCGATAACTCCCAAGGCTGAGTGTAATTAGGATAACGGAGCGCCGCGGCTAATATCGGCGAATACATTACAGTACGAGTATGCAGAGTGTGGGCTCTTATTAATGAGGCCGATCTCGCGAGCTCTCATGGCTGGGCCCGACACACGCAAGGCCCCGACAAGGCCCCGAGAACACTCGGGAAACGCGGGGCCCGTTCTTTCTCCGAGGACCGATGGAGTACCGTTCCATCAATCGAGGTCCTTTTTTATCGGCCGGAGAAAATTATTTCTCTCTCTCGAGAAACCGGGCCCAATTTCAATTGAATTTTTCCAAGTCCCCAGAAAAGTGCATTTCCGATTTCCCTGGATATCTCCAAAAATAGGGCCCTCTAAAATCTTAAAATGGCCATGCCGTTTACTGGCCCTTTTTCATCGGCCGCAGAAAATTATTTCTCTCCCTCGAAAAACCGGGCCCAATTTCAATTGAATTTTTCCAAGTCCCCAGAAAAGTGCATTTCCGATTTCCCTGGATATCTCCAAAAATGGGGCCCTCTAAAATCTTAAAATGGCCATGCCGTTTACTGACCCTTTTTTATCGGCCACAGAAAATTCTTTCTCTCCCTCGAAAAACCGGGCCCAATTTCAATTGAATTTTTCCAAGTCCCCAGAAAAGTGCATTTCCGATTTCCCTGGATATCTCCAAAAATAGGGCCCTCTAAAATCTTAAAAAGGACATGTCGCTTCCTGGCTAAAGTGGGCTCGTACGTCCCACGTGAGAGAAAATGAATTCTTCGGGTTTGCATCGAGGGAATATCAAGGATCTTGAATCGAGAATCAAAGATGGCGGCGAAATACGTAATTGAAATCCCGAGAAAATTTCGACCTACGAGGAAATTATCGCCGGTTGGAGAAATTGATAAGGCTTACGGCTCGTCACGAGTAGCCTAAGCGAGGTCGGGAAGATTCCGGGTTTCCGGAAGGTTGGAAAGGTTGGAAAGGCATCCGGGCTGAACTCGATTGATGTATTATGCAGGGTACTCGGGCGCTATTTAAAGGCGCTTAGGCGTGCTCGACGTGGGCAGTGATTAGCAAGAGAAGCCCCGAAGGAGAAGGTGGGTGCGACGAGAGATGGCTACGACTTCCAAGACAGGCTAAGCGAGCCAAGTGAGATTGTCAAAACTGAGAAATGAGAGCAGCGATTAGCGAAATTAGCCCGAAGAAGATGGCCGTGCAACAAAGGACAGCCATGACTTTCCGATCAAGCTACGCGAATCACCTAGGTTTATGAAAACAGGGGAACGAGATTGCGTGCCTAGGTCAACCTCGGCAAAACTCGAAACCTCCAATAATCGTTAAAATTCGGGTAGGGTCCAAGTTGAACCGAGTAAACGCAGTACGTAGAATATTCGGACGCTACTCAAGGCACTCCGTATCGGGTGACGGCAGTATATTTTCGCTTTCTTTTTTTTTGCGAATTTTTTCTAACGACCCATGAAAATACGGGGTATTTTCGTGGTTCGTATTCTAGACATATTGTAGAAAGAATATATAAAATAAAATATCTTTGAATTTTTTCGACCCGATACGCGGTACGACCGCCCTAAAGGCATCACGACGCGTTCGATATGAAGAGGAACCCTGAAGAGACTTAGCAACGACTTCCGCGACTGATTAAAACAACCCACGAGCGACCACGTAAACAAGGAAACGAGGTTCCTGGTCCGGTGCATCCTGGGGAGCCATCAAGAGGTCGGCAAAACCGGAAAATCGGAAAATCGAAAAGTCGGAAAGGCGTCCAGGCGTCCGACTCGGTTGATGTATTATGCAGGGTACTCGGGCGCTATTTAAAGGCGCGACTAATCGTGCTCGACGTGGGCAGTGATTAGCAAGAGGAGTCCCGGAGGAGGAGGTGGGTGTGCGACGAGAGATAGCCGTGGCTTCCAGGACGGGCTAAACGAACCGGGAGCCCGCTCCACCCCGGGAGAGAAACCACCGCTACGGTATATTAACCTCCGCCAGGCCTACAAGGTGGCTCGGCTCTCCCGGGAATTACGGTGTCTGTCGGGCGGCGGCCTCCGGCTCGCGGACGGAGTTACACGGCTACTTACGCCGTTAGCCTTCCCCCCGGGGAAGGATCGACGGATCGAGTCCACCCGACCGGGATCGAGATAAACCCGAAGTAGCCTCGGGTCCACCCTAGGGGAGGAACGAGCGAGGAGGATCGGGTCCGATCCTCTCGACGGCTCGCGACTTTCCACCCGCTCGAATCGTCCCCGGGAAGACCGATCGAAAAGGGTTAACCCCTCGGAGCCATTCACTCGGAGATCAGAGAAAACGACTTCCTTTTTTAACCCTTTCGGCACGAGCGCTCTGTCCGCCGAGACACAAAATGTACACATAGCGCATGCATACAGGCTGTCACGTGGATGCCGGATATATCCGGCGCTCGTACACACAGGTCATCACGTGGATGCCGGATATATCCGGCGCTCGTACCGAAAGGGTTTAGAGCCTGTAGACTTTCATATCAAATGATAAAGAACGCGATTAGGTCGATAATCGACGTTCGGCCTTAAAATTGTAAAATCAATCGGTCATTTCCAACGACTTCCACCGATTGCTTGGGATTATTAGCTGATTTTCCCAGGATTTCAATCGTTGAAATCCATGATTTCCGGAGTGAATACGAATTAACCCTCGCCCATGCCGCGAAAGCGTCGAATCGCTTATCCGAGACCTATCGAGAAATTGATCCACCTCGATGCCCTGGTTAAAGTCGACGTCACTCCTTCGAGAGGTCCAGGAAACGACATTTTCCGTCTAATCCGAGGCGCCAGGCTAAACGCAGATAACGACTAGATCGGCGTTCCGAGGCCATTATATATCTGGCGCGAAACTCTATGGAGTTTCTCAGCGAGCACCTACCGGAGACCCCTTCTCCTTGACGAAACGAGATGGTCGAAATAGACCAAACGACGCGAAGAGAAGACCGCGGCTCGCCATTGAAAAGCCCCGATTCCATCTCTCCCTCGAAATGCATCTCGTCGGATGCACTCTGCGTCTATCAAGCGATCGGCACTTTCGAGGCGATCGCTCCGCCGGGAGGATATATGCGGAAAAGGAGAAGCGAGGAGAACACGGGTGGATATACGAATATGAGGCGATAAACGGGAGAGGGGACGCGGACGACGGGCGCGATCCTTTAGGCGCGGCGCCGCGGCGCTCGCCGTCGCGGCGCAATAAAACCCCCTTGATCACCGGGGCCCTGATTTAAAGCCGCGCATTAACGGCCGTTATCGTACCCCGGAAATATCGTAAGGATTCCCAATAACCGGCCGCGGTTATCACGGGGAACCGGCTCTAGCCGCGCGGTATCCCACGACGACGCTATCCTCCGCGCTTCCGCGCCTTTATATTCGCAGCCGAGTGCAGCGCGGTGCAGCGCTGCAGCGCGTGGTTCGACGATGCGACGCAACGCAGCGAATGCAGTGCGTTACGGCTTGACGCGATGCAGCGCGGTGCATTGCTAGAGTACATCTTTATATTCGCTGGCGAGTGCAGCGCGGTGCAT